CTCATGGGCAAAATAAAACATGGTTACTGATGTTTGCGTTCGTTAGCAATTGTACAAATAGCAATGCACGTGCAGAATTGATATCGAAGATAGATAGCGTGGTTCGCCAAATCAATTATGCATCGTCGTGTCCGATTGGCGCGCGATATCATTCACTTATTCACTACTTTTTTATACTTTTCTAAATTTAATGTCGCTTAAAAAGTCGTAAACAATTTTTGCAAAAAATAAAATATTTTTACGAAGCAGTCACAATTGTTAAAATGTATTTGCTTTATGAAAGCGTTTCATAAAATTTGTATTTTCGAAATGTGCGAGCTTAAGTTTTTTACGAATTAAAATGAATCACATTAGCAGAAATCAGTCGATGATATTAACTTATAATTAATGTTAATATCATATTAATAAATAAATAACCGAAATAAATGATATGTTTTTTTAACAATAAATTCATTACGAGCAGCTTTAATATTGTATGCAATATCTCATTAAAATTGTGTTAATTAATTAAAAATGAGTTTTATGATTAAAAAATTTATGAATCAAAAGAAATTAAATTTCTGAAACAACTGATATAAAACTAATTATAAGTTTAATATTTTCAAATAATAAAATAATTAAATTATATAAATAAATTAATATAAAAATTATCAGATTTTAAAGTATGATTCTTGTGTTATGAATAATTTATATAGCATGAGATAAACCATTATATGTAATAGTTTTATTAGAATTGATAATCTTGTAGTAATTTTGGGCATTTTTACAAAGCATAAAGCACGCAGTATTATATGCTCTTCTTTCGTTTCAATTATAGCACTGACACAGATCGCCACGTCGTAACATGATCATCGAATTAATTAATCAGCTTAAAGGCGGAAGGTCACATCAAGCCAAGCGATAAACGTAGTTGCTATTCTGTCTTATGTTCTTTTCTATAATATTACTATTCACATACTTAATTAGTAATGGTTTATTTGTTTAGATATGTGCGAATATAATTACACATTTAACATTATTTATATATTTGCATATATTATCTATATATATTACGATATTATTAACAAATTTCTTGGTTTTTTATAATTTAATGTCACTTAAAAAGTCGCAAATAATTTTTGCAAAAAATAAAATATTTTGCGAAGGAATCAGGATTGTTAGAAGGTTGTGTTTGCTTTATGAGAACGTTTCATAAAATTTGTACTTTTGAAATGTGCGTGCAAACAATGTAATGAATTATGTAATTATCTATTTGCTCTTATGCATTTAATAACCCATTTATTAGTGTTTGTTCACGCAGTGCAATATTATCTTTTTTTAGAAGATTTCTTTCCAAAAGATAGTGTAAATACTGCGACATGTGAATTTATAATGATTTGTCAATGTTTTTATTCAGTATAATTCGGTAGTCTTCCGCAAACCACGTGTTGTCAATTAAGATCCAAAAATGTGAACAGAGATAAGATAAATTTCTGTCATTGATAATACCTTACAAAACAAACAATAAATAATGGTTTTATGAGGAAGAAAATTTGGAATTTCACGCAGGATCATATTATACAATGAAACAATCCACGTACATTTATAAGCTAGCTATTAAAGCTAATAGTTTACTTTTTTAATATGTATACGATTTTGTCACATTAATACTATGATCACTTCTTAGCAACGTTCTGTTGATAGGGATGGTAATAATTTAATGTTTTTTTTTCGGTTATTTTTTTATTTCAGTGTTATCTTTGACAAACGAATTCATAAATAACACACTTGAAGAAACGTAAACAATAATTCAATATATATACGGGGTCTTCTTTATTTGGTGAATCTTGATAGTGTGGGACACCGATGATATATAAAATTGAAAATCGCGATTTCAACCTTATTTCTACGATGGCACCCAAGGCATGTAAATTTGTGCAGGGAAAAGAGTCGAATAATGGATTATTTTCGAGTGGAAATACATCGGCAAAAACCAAACGTACGTGAGATAAGAAGTATCGAATATCTTATACTTTTTATTGTTCATTATATTTCTCATTTATTAGATATAATCATTATTTAAAAGCATTCTGAAGTTTTTATCTCCATATTTTTTTTGCGATTTTTTCAGTGATGATATTTCTGTTTACAAAATTCTGCAATTCTAAGTAGAAGAACGATATATTATACGCTGCCTTGACGAACCGGTACAACGATCAAATTAGTATGCATTCGGTATAAATTTTCGAATAAAATGTTCATTTTAAATCTTGACACGCTTTTCGCAACATTCCCAAATATTGTCGTAACTCTTTACGATCAAATAAGCCAATATTTTGTTCTCATTTTAATGCTATTGCATTGAAATATAAATCTGCCAATCAATCTTTGTCGGTTAGGAAATTTCATGAAGATTAGAAAGAAACATAGTTTGTCAATTGCAATTATACATTGCTTTAACTATTTAGTGAATTATATGAACTTGTCACTAAAAGCGGTCCACCTCGACAGGTTTGCAAAGGATTAATTAACATTCCAATTTCTCAGATACCCTCTTTTAGATTCGTTCGCGCAAACATCAATTGATACATGTGCATGAGATTAAAATAATTCTCTCTATCTTTTTATATGTTCAAAAACCGCGTTATTTTTTTTTACTGATCTTCGACATCCGCTTGCTTATACCGGTTGAAAATAACACATTATTTTGCAATGCAGCATGGTCTGTGCAAGTTTCGTGGGCTGAGCAAGTGTTCACTCGCTGTCTGTCAGCTGCAACATTATTCGCTCGGTTACGAGCAATAGAAAGAAATAACGCAGTGAGTTTTTCCACACTTGGCGTGGGAGAATTCCCGCGTTTTCTCGCTGCAGGCGTGGGTGATGGAGATGATTTTTTCTCATCGATACGTGCAAGATTCTACAGGTTCTTTCAGGAACCTGTTCCGCCCCACCGCGTAACGATGGACGCCTGATATTGACATTATTGTCGACGTCGTCATTGTCTGCTTCGCAGTTCTTTAGTCTTGGCTACACTTTTATCGCGAATCGGCCAGTTTAGCGGTTGTCGCGCGCCACTGTGCATGTTCGGCTAAAGAAGCGTAAGAGCTTCTCTCAAGGTGAGAACGCGCGCGACGGGCTGAGATCGAATGAGGGTTGCGGTGGTACTTCGCGAGCTTACACTGCGTTCTCGCTATCTCCGATTTCTTGCTCTCACGAGGAAATAAGTACCCGACGACGGTAGACAAAGATATTTAATGAAGTCGCTGGTGAAATTTAAAGGCAAGTTGTTGCTAGATTTTCTATTGTAGTTTTCGCAGATTTTATTATCTGTCACAATATTTCCTGATTTTTCTAATTTTTTGACGTTTTTTGTGTGATATCATGCAATCTTGAAAAATTGGATATATATAGATATATGCAAATATATTGAATATACATAGATATATATCTAATAAAGTCCATTATGATAGTGTGTTTTGCTATTCTGTGTACGTATTTTAATATTCAAGCATGGTAATAAAAAATATAAAATTTATAGTTTGTACAAATTCTATTATATATATATATATATAATTTCTTTTATAGAATTTTAATATATATACAAGGAAAATAAAAAATACGAGGAAATCATTCAAAATACTTTTTTTGTATTCGATAAACGTTTGCGTTAATTGTAAAAAGATAAATTTTTAATACATATTATACCTTTTTAAGTACAAAGCAATGTATTGTACATATTATGGGAATGTATACATATGTCATATTATAATAAAGCCCATGATTTCCTCTTGTCAGATTTTATCGCAATACGTCTTTTTGTTAATCTTTTTTGTTAATTTTATTAAATTTGAAGAGAATAAAAATTATATCAAGAAAAAGAAAATTACTTGAATTATAATTACTTTTAAAACAGAAACTCGCACATTTCTATTACATGCGTTTAGCATCTCGAGCATATAGAATTTCTTTGCGATGGTAAATAATACCATTTGTTGCGTTGATTAATAAATTAAAATATGAATTATTCAATGTTATTCGTTTTCATATAAATGAGCGTTTAACAAAATAAAAACATTGCATATTTAAAAACATTTTACACGTATAAATATAAAATATTATTTTTCCGGAATTTACATAAAGCCATCTTTTTTAAAACAATCGAATCTATAACTTGGGGAATGAGAGAAAATTGAATTTTACAAACGTTTAATCATTTCCTTTGTTTCTCTTAGTACCGTATAATTATGCGTAACCACTGAGTACATTCTCTGGTTAGAGAGCATTTTGTAATTAATGTCTCGGGCGAATGTATTTGTTGCGTAGAAAATTTGTTGATTTGCTTAATTGAACGGCGTCTATAATTTACGTAATTGCCTAGTTTATGAAAATATATAATAAATATATAACTATATATAAATATATAAATTTATAAAAGCAAACTAGTAACAATGTGTGAAAAAACACATACGTAACTCCCTACCGTGTCTCGCAATATTTTTTCAAATATATACAAATGTAAAACGGTTGTAAAATACATTTATTAATCCATTAATCGCAAGCATTTATCTTATGGTAATGCACATAATATTGAAGCAAATGTATGTAATGTAAAAATGTATTAATATTTATTTCCGCGCGTGCGGATATATATAACCGATTTTATGCAAATACGCACGCGCGGAAATAAATATTAATACCATTAATACATTTGCTTCAATACCGATCGGTTATATAAGTATTTTTATATCAAAAATTTGATCATTTTTTTTAATTAATCAATTTCCATTATAATATTACAACTCATTTTGATTAATAAATTTTAATGTGTTTTAATTAATTTTTATATAAAGGATATTTATGATATTTGGAGAACATCAATCTTCTCTCAGCGTTGCTAATTAACTATTAACGAATATTTATAAAATAATATTTCTCAGGCTATAAAATATTTTTAGTAATATATATTAAGTAATTGTAAACACAGAGACGTGGCTTATTTGGGTATGTTGATATTCTTAGCTCGATCAATTCATCAGTCGAATTCGATCCGTCTCGCGAACGTTATAGTGTACGACGTGTGTGATTTTCAGCGAAGAGATCATCGTGATTCTCTTGCGAGTTATCATACAAATTTACATTTATTAAACCGAATTTTATACTTTTATTAATTCTACTTAATTTTATCTCCGTTCGGTGAGATTTATGAGACTGACGCATATAATCCCACATCAAACATTTATCGTAATTAAATTGGTCAGTTGAAACCCGCATCATTATTGCATTTCATGGACAATCCATTATTTACTATGAACCATGTGTGACATCGTGAATACATCAGACGAACAGGTTTTCCGAAGAATACATAACGCAATGAATGCTGTTGCCGCTATTTGCCTTCATCTGTGAAAGATTTATCCCTCAGTGAATTGTATTTTTTATAAATTTTTTACTTTAATTAAACGCATTAACAACAAGCGAACGAACGACGTAATATTGCCATTTTGTACGGTGTTCAGTTAAATCGATTAAGCAAGACGCCGCAATCTTTGTTTGGGAATAATAAAAACAGTGACATGTTCAAATGGCGTGGTAATATTGACAGTTTTTCGTGATTAGACAGTGGAAATAAACAGAGGCGAACAAATATGCTTAGCTACGAACTTCAATTTAATTCATAATCATAATTTAACGAAAGTGACCGGTTTGATGATACGCTGTAGCAAGAATGATTTTTGCACGTCTCATCGAATTTTTTGCAATGTACAAATTGTCTAGATATAGACTTGTGCGTGAAGGATCAGGTATTGATTGAATGTTGATTATGTAAATCGGAAGGAACCGCGCCTGCATTGATAGTCATAGCTCAATTTTTCTTCTTAGTGGAAGACGCAAAAGCTGATCCAGGTCAGGCTGATCCAGGTCCAGCAGATTTCGAACGGGCAATAATAGCAGCAGGTAAGTAAAGTTTGCGTTATTCTTCCATAATTGTAATAATACTTTTCATACAATTGTAATAGATCTCGTGGTAAATAGAATTTTTAATTAAAAATATTAGTTATATAATATAATTCTGTCACATGTATAATTTAGAAAAAAGATATTTAAATCCTAAGTCAATTTTTACTAATAACGTATGAAGAGTATCTACGTACATTTTAAATGTTTTTACTTGATTTTACGATAAGTACTTTTTTACTGCGTTTATTTTCTCGAAATTCTGATTACAATTCTAATTCGTGCGTTAAAATCTGTTTTCTATTGCCAGGATATGGAAAGTTTAACTATCTGCTACTGCTGGCGATACTGCCGGCCAGTTTCTCCAGTGTCTTTTCGTCATCGACAATGTCCTACGTGTTACCATCTGCTGAATGTGACCTCCGGCTGACGATGTTCGACAAAGGACTGCTGAACTCGATGGCGTTCGCAGGTGGTATTTTAATTTCGCTTAACGATCGTGTAACAACGCTTTATTACAGATGCGAGCTCGAAATCAGAGCCTTAAAGCGCTAAAGAGTTTGGCACACTTAGAGTGTATGATTATCGTGCGGCGTGCACTGCCGGTTCGGTTGTAGGCAATAATGAGGGCAAACGCGAATCCACGGTAAATACCGTACCATTTTTATTCTTTCTCGCATGCGAATTCTCCCACCGGCTTGATTATTTTCGGCCGGTTGTTTTCGATCCGCGAGCAATTTCTCCGGTGGCGGATTAAGGCTTTTTTAAGGTTCTAAAAAGCACAGCCATCCCGGGGCTCTCCTCGCATTTTGGCATGCCATCGATACATTCCGATACGATGGTAAATGTTTTCGATTTTACACCACTGTGTCTTACTGTGAAGTCCATAGAATCGTAGCAAAAATTAATTGTGAATGCTTGCGAATTATTTTAAATGATTAAATTACTTGACATTAAATAATTACATTCTCTCTTGCCATTAATATAAATTTAAAATTTTACTGTGGAAGAAATTCAGGATCACAACAGAAACAGGACATTAAAGTATCTGCCTTGAATTTAAGATAAAAAGAATGGGCAGAATGTAATTCAGGTTCTGGCTTGCACGCCCGGAGAATATAAAGTTATAAAATGAGAATAACATTTGCATTATACAAATGTTTATTTTATTTCACGATTTCGGTTAAAATCGATAGCAAATCCAGGTATATTTGTTTTCAAGCATTTTATTTAAATTTCTGAATTCTCGGCTTGGAGGCCCCTAGGCATGTGCTTACTACATAATCCAACACTGATCTTATTGTAAGTTTACGGCATGTCGTAAATCTAAAAAAAAAAAAACACGAAAATACTTTAAAATTGTGTTCTATCTTATCTATGCGACCATCTCATTTTTGCTGTATATCTTATTTCTTGCCTTAGTAATTATATTCAGTTTCTGATGGAAAACTGGAATGTAAAACCGGCTGACTTACCGATTTGTTTCAGGAATGATCAGCACGGCATTTTTCTGGGGTTTCATGGCCGACACGTTCGGTCGTAAGAAAATAATGTTCTACGGTTACTTGGTTACTGGTTTACTAAGTGTGGCAACATGTTTTTCGCACACTTCTTGGCTTTTAATTATATTTAAGTTTTTCGACGGCGTAATGTAAGTTGTAATTGCCTGCCATTGCAGTTTGACATTTTATGAGTGAAAAAAGTGATTTACTGTATAAATATAGTAGAGCTATTAATAGTCTCCTTAAGTTTGAATAAAAGCCAAATAAATATAAATTACTTATTCCACAAATAAATGTGTTAAAAATATTTTAAGAATATTAATTTGCGCGCGAAAATAAATTTACTTATTACACTTACATTCGTTATATAAAAAGAGTTGATATCTTGATTGACAAATTGCAGCATATCTGGCCCATATGCAGCGCTTATGTCGTACTTGGCAGAGATACACGATACAGTGCATCGATCGCGGTCGTATATGTGGCTTGGCGTGTTCTTCTCACTTGGAAACATTTGCCTGCCATGTAAGTTCAGCCTTGACACACCTTATCTAAGGATCGGCGGGGGGTTAAATTATAAAGCGTCGATTTTTAAGCTGGACGATACAATGTTGCAATGCACATGTTGCAGTAAGATTCGCACGATATAAGAAAGTTAAAATTAATTTACAAATCATTAAAGATAATTAAAGGCGCACAATTTTATTTTACGTAAAATGATTTCGATGATAAATGTGATTCTTATCTTTTGGTTTCTAGGCGTAGCATGGCTGGTAATACCTCAAAAATGGGACGTCACATTTTTTAACAGAACGATGGAAATAAATTCGTGGAGGGTGTTTTTAGCGATTTGTTCTATACCTGAGTTTCTCGCGTGCGTCGCCCTTTTCGCTTTTCCAGAGAGTCCGCGCTTTCTCATCTTGAAAGGCCGACATGACGAGGCGTTGAACGTCTTCAAGAAGATCTACTCGCTCAATACTGGAAAAGATCCTGACACATATCCGGTAGCGATATATATTTTATTTGAAAATAAAAATGTATTGAAAATATGTTTTGGAATGTAGATCAATTACGAGTAAGGCCATGAGTTTGAGTTTCTCAATCGAGCTGTTTGTTGATGCGAATAATTTTGTGCCGGAACTCGAGTCGCATAAGCAAAATCCGATTGTAAACGGGAATCGATTACTGTTTCAATATAAAATACGCACGATAATTGCACGCTACGATGCAATCGTGCATTTATTAATAGTAATGCGGCTGTTTCCGAGTTGACTAACGGATTTGTGGTCGAAGTGGACTAACGAAGTTGACTAACGATTCATTTAATTGATAGATAAAGAGTCTGAAGGATGAATATACTGTCAAATCTTCCGCGGGGAATTTGCAAAGTGAAGCGCACAACTGCTGGAAGAAAGTAAAGCCTCTTTTCCTGCCACCTAATATCTTCAGATTGCTACTCATATCGATGATACAGCTCGGAGCGACGATAGGGTCAGTTTAACAAAATTTTTTAACCCACAAAGAAGTGGAAACCCGACAAAGCAAATTGGGCTCGTGAATGATTCAACTAACGTCAATTGATTACGCAGGTCGAATTCGCTCCGACTTTGGATGCCGCAGTTGTTCGCGATGATCGAGAGTTACAAGAGCACACTGATGAAGAACGATAAGCGCGTATTGGGCTTTCAGCCTTCATTCTGTTACATGCTAGGCCAAGAAAAGGCATATCTTAATGCCACTCGGTACATCAATGAAACGCTGAGCAATGCGACGGCTGTGTGCGTTCCAGTAAGTGTCTTTGTGCATATGCAATAAATAAATTTCAGTTACAATGAACTATGGAAAGAATATGCGTATAAATTTCAGGCTGAGCTGAACTCCAGAGTGTTTATCAATTCCATCGTCATCGCTATGACAGGCATTATTGGTTATATTCTGGCTGGTACTTTAATTACTATTATTGGAAAAAAGAAACTGATGGGTAAGATATTAATTAGCAGTAATTTGGTGAAAGATAAATGGCGGTTTTTATTCATGAAATGACTCGGAGAATAATGTTGCAAACCTGTTATTCTAATTCATAATTAATGATCATTTTGTAATCATTATGATCATTACGTTCTTGTAGCAATTTGTTTCCTCATTGCTGCTGCCTGTTGCGGTTCACTTTATTGGGCCGAAGATACCAATGGCATTCTCGGATTGTCTTCAGTATTTGTCGCCATGTCGAGTATTGGTGGTGCGGCTGTTATTAATGTTATCGTTGATAATTTTCCTACATGTCTAAGGTGTGACAATAAGAAATGATTATTTATTGTATCCGTTTTCTAATATTCATATATTCTTATAATATTTATTGTTTTTTTTTTTTTTAGAACTGTAGCAGTCAGTATAACAATGATGATGGGAAGAATCGGCGCAGTAATAGGCAATTTATTATTCCCCATTTTATTCGATCTGTCGTGTTTAGGCCCCTTCGTTATGATCGGCACGGCTTGCTTAAGTAAGAAAATTTATTTGAGTATTAAATTAAATTCACACAAGAAAATTGTGTAAAAATGATCGAAACGTTAACTTTAATAATATACATTTTCATTTTAGCTTCTGCATTGATGGTCGCTATGCTACCTCGGAAAAAGACGCAGGACGAAAAATGGGAGGATGTTGTTTGATCTTTTTATAAATATGTTCAGCTTCAATATGTCCTGATATTTTACTCTTCGTAGAAGAAGTAATGTGTAAATACGTTTCCGCTTTTATAATTTTAATTGCGATGAGGAATCATTATCGTTTTCCACCGGTGCAATTTTTCATTGTGTAAATATATACATTTATATAATAGATAAGACTTACTTATCGTTCTCACTTATCATTTCATATTTAATAAGTGAATTGTACAATGTATATACGTGTTTTAGAAAAAGCATATTTCGAACTCGCATTACTAAGTAAAAATTAAATAAGCGTGAGCAGGAATGCATTTCATTTTTGTAATATTTGTCGTAATAATTTGTTTATTAAAAACAATAACAATAATAAAAAAAATTATGACTATGAAATAATTATTAATCTGTCTTCAGTTCCTTCTGTCCGCAGCGCGTGATGCAAAGGCGCATATCGAATTGCCGCACTCATCGGCTAAGATTTCTCTGGAGAAAAGTGTCAGCGTCAGCGAAATTAATCTACACAGATCTTTTTTCATTCTTTATTCAGTTTTATATGTCCAGTATATTACAGGCGGTACCATGTATGGTTGCAATGTACATAAATTATAAACACTCTTAAATTAAATTAAATTTTGTATCTATTATTAATTTTAATATTATATTATATTATAATTTTTTTTTGTAAATACGTAATTGTAATCAATTTTTATTAGTTTCTTACAATTTTACAGATTTTTATTTTAATTGTACTTGAATCGTATGTACTTTTCGTTTTAACTTTGCGTTTGTATTTGGGAGCAATTCTTGACTGGGCTCTCACGATCGTGCGCAACGTTACAGCTTGCCTTGCCTGGTCTGACGCGGCAGTGTCGATACGACAGCGGTGGTCGCTGGTCGGCTTTGCGCATTGGGGTCGAGCGATCCGACGTAATGTGAAGAACTAAAAACTGGTTTTCCGCTGTTCCGTAGATAGTTGTGCACATCGCCAGGAATCATGGAAGAGGTATTTCAAAACGGAAATTATCAGAGGGAGGCTAACGCCAACAACATGACCGCCGTGGAGACGCGGAAAGAGGTAAAGAGAAGCCTGGGCTTATTTTCCACGTTTCTCTGGCAAATCGATACACATCGCTCTCTCATCGCGCTTCGTCTATTCGGAGTCCGTATCGCGTTCTTGCTCGTCTCGTGGCAAACGACTTGGGAGTTTCAGGAAGTTCCCTGTTGGACGCTTGGTGGATTAGAGAGAAGTGTCGATTAATAAAGTTCAGTTTTAATTAACTCTACAGCTAGCGAATGTATGTCGCGCAATAATCAGCACGAGCAACGCGCAGCGTCTCTCAATCGGTGTCACTGACTCGTATCCTCCCTACAATTTCTTCGTATATATCTTTGTATATTTTCGGTGTGAGTTCGTGAATACAATTGTTGCGCGCTAATGTTTGTGTACGAAACTTACCGCCGAAATCGTGATATGAGTGCGAGAAACATATGGATAAGGAAGCAACTCAAATTCTCTCAAATTCGTCGGAAGATTGAATATATGTGATATTTCAGGACTGCCTACTCGACCACATAGAGATCTCAATAGTAGAAGCAGAGAAAAGGGCGAACCGGGCGCTTAATTTAAGGGAGTTCTACACAGTATACCTCATCGAAACTAAGTGAGTTGAAGGAACAAGAATATTTATTATATTTAAATTATGTTCAAAAAATTTTGTTATTAATATGCCTGATTTTTTTTTTATTGCAGAGTCACTGATCCAGATTTTAAAAATGCATTAAGTAGGATAAGCTCATTATGGCGACGATATACTGAATTCGAATTGCTTCGTGCTTATCTGGAAATTTCTTATCCTTATATTGTGTTACCGCCTTTACCAGAAAAAAAAGTTCTTTATGCGTGGCAGAAAGTGACGACTGACACATTCGATCCTGACTTTGTAGATCGCAGAAGAGCTGGTCTCGAGGTATGTTCGAAGTATCTGCTACAATAATACATTATATAACGAATAAAATTGTAAACATATTTTTATGCAGAATTTTCTGACAAGAGTAGCATCGCATCCTATACTTTCACGTGATGAACATTTCATGGGATTTCTCCAGCAGAAGGATGGCTGGAGAGAAAGTGTTAAAGAAACAGGTATTTTATTGCGAATCATGATAAAGAAAGTAATTAAAGAATTCAATTAAATTAAAACTGAGTGAATTAACAAACTAGAAAGTTTACTAGATAGATTTATTATTTTTGCATAGGGTATCTGCAGATTGCAGAATCGAAACTAAAAGCGCTTAGTGTAGCAGTGCGATTAAGAAAGCCGGATAAACGATTCGAGACTATAAAAAATTATGGAATTGAACTGCAGGTATGCTAGTTAAAATAAGCTTTGCGATATTATAGGGTGATTCTATGTCAATACTTCCCATCTCTGTTTTAGAGTATTGATATATATATTTAAAAACCATCTTGAATATACCTATAACGTAAATTTGTGAGAGTATTAACGAGCAATATGCCAGATTAATTTAATATTATGTCTTTGATAATAAATATCAATAAGATAATATTGTAATTATTATGCGAGTATTTTTGTCAGTGAATTACTGTACAATGTTGCTCTTGCAGAATAATTTGTGTAATCTGTTGCGAGTGCGTGCACGTCTCGTCGAGAAGCAACACAGTCTGTACAAATTACACGCAAATTACGGGCGTGTCTTCAGTGAATGGAGTGCCATAGAGAGAGAAATGGGCGATGGACTGCAGGTAACTTTGTTATAAAAATAGCATTGTAGCCCGTGCCGAAAATAATCGATTTTACTTACTAACGCTGGAAAGACAATAAAATGACGCGGTGGATGAGCGAAGAGGCGCAGTTTAAATATAAAAATTGCAAAACACCGCATTACAGCCTGTTTTCTTAGAAATCGGGACACTACTTGGACTCATTAGCGGCAACAATAGATTCCACTCTCGAGGAAGAAGAGCTTATAGCCGATCAGCTGAAGGAGTGGTTGTTTGGTGCGTCGGCGTTACAGGCTGTGGTTAGACGCAGAGAAGCTTTACAGTTGGCTAAGGACGAGGCTCACAATGCCTTAACCGCTGCGTTCGAACAAAAGGATAAAGTTATGCAAGGTATTAAAATAATATTAGAATTATTTAATTTTTAATTGTTGAATTGTGGAAAATAATACATCTTTTGTATTTTTAAGGTAAAGCCGGTCTGATGTCGCGCTTATTTGGCTCGGTGGATACCGAAGAGGTTCGCGAACTAAAAATAATCCATCTGGAACAGCAGATCGCGCAGCACGATGAAGCCGTAAAACAAGTTGACGAAGATTTAAAGTAAGAGATCGTGTCTACGTGCCATTATTTTAATATTTGTCTGCAAATGCATAATCTCTCCAAATTGTTTTACAGATCTTTTTCCATCAAAGCTATGGTGGATATCGAGAGATTCCAGCACCAAAAAGTTGTCGATCTAAAAGAAACTTTGGCAACTTATTGTGTTTTGCAATTTAAGTTGGCTAGAAAGGTTGGTATTAAGTTTGATACTTTACAGATTTGATTTCGTGACGCCTTTTGACGATCGCATTATTTTTTTTTTTTCTTATTACAGGGTCTTCAAGCTTGGCAGCACATTAAAGGTTGTCTCGAAAGTATACCGTGAAGAAATTCATGACGCTTCACAAAGCAGACTGTCACAGAACAATAATCGTTCCCGCGTTTCCCGTGAGATATACATTCCTACATTTGTAAGTTCACTCATGCCGTACGCTTATTATCATATTGATGTATATGATTGTTATTATTTAATGTCAGACTTATAGGGGATATTATATATGTATGTAATTCATGTTGGATATATATATATATTATATACATATATATAAATATGTCAAGACACACATTATATTTAAATATTTATATGTATTTAGTACACCGCTTATGCGCGGACACAAATAATTACAATCATTACACGAAAAATTGTATTTAATTGTGTAATACAAAAAAATGCAATATGCAAATTATATTTGACATAATTTGTCAAATTTGCTATATGTAAATGACGATAAATGGGATCGTTGTTGATGTAATTTTTTATACACTGTCTTTTCGTCGTTAAGTAAGCACTTTAATTAATTCTACTTTCTACATTGAACCTACATATTTAATCTTCTGATGCTAAATTATATTTGTTTCTTTAAACAAATATGAAATGTATTTGTTATAATATCAATAATTGATGTGCACGGGATAAAATTAATTGTGTATTATTAATGCTACTCTTGTTTATTATAGATCTTTCTGTAGCTATTTTCAGTATTATTATTACATTGCAAACGTTGTTAAAGTTTAGTATATTAATCTTTTCTAATTGTTTATAATGTAGAATATATATTTTTTTACAATATATATTAGATGTAATTTATCGACGATAAATTTATTTTCATTAAATTTTTTATTTGAATCTCAAATAATAAGTTCTGTTAGAAATTCAGTATGATATTATGTGAGCGTAATTATGTTTTTTGTTTCAAATATCATAAATTTTTATATATATTTGGTTTTATGTTATAATCAGATAATTAAATATATACAATTCACAATCTGTGTCTCTTTATTGGCAAATATAATATTCCTCGATTTTATTTCTCTTCAAAGTATTATTCTCTTTTCCATTATTTTCTTTTTATAAGAATAGTTTATACACGTGGACTTAAAAAAAACATTGCAATCAACTTTACGGAGGATTAGCGAAATTGCACAGAATGATTGCTGTATGAATTAAAATGCAGTTATGGAGATTTTATCCACGTATATATTTCCATTTGTCAGTTTGTTCTGGCGATTTAATCACTCAATTGTAACAATGTGCGTTGTGTTATTTTTACGATATTCCGCAGAGAGATAATAAAAAAACACTCCGTAGAATCTATTTTCTACCGATGAATCCACATGCGATTTCAGAATATGATTTCCCGCCAACTCAAACGTGTTCCTGCTCATCTGTCCAAATATTAAAGATAATTTTGTCTTGGCGACTCCGAATATATGGAAACCCTAAAATAATTTTCAAGGGCATGTGAATACAAAAATACACATATGATTGCATTATTTATAAAAATAATAAAGATAGTGCGTTGCGGCATATAGATTATTTTTGTCAAACGCATCGTTCCATTGAAGGGGAGAGGAAAGTAAAATACCAAATAAATTTAAGATGCATTGCAGGCGCTCATCTGTTATTATCAAAAATATCCTGATTTGAGGTATGTATACACTTATGAATAACATCAATAAGACACGTGGATAAAAATAAAGAGAATTTTACAATTATTTATATTATTTTATAAATAATCATTTATACTTATATATACATATAATATATATGTCATTTACATAAATAATATCACATTATCGAAGTTAAATCGACGTGAAAAGAGTGACAATATCTTATGCTAAGATGTACGCTACAGCATTACGTTCTACATTAACACGAAACATCTGTCTTTGTAACATTCGCAGACTTGAATCTACAATAAACTCGACATATTTGTTTCGATTTGATCAGATCATATGAAATAATTACGCATAATGTTTCGATAAAGAATGAAGAGAATTTACAGGTAAGAATGTTTTTGTTTTATTGGAAAATGAGTGTCGTTGCAACTTGTGCGTATTGCGACACGCAATGTCGAAAGCGTGTACACGCGATATGCTGTCAAAACGCATGACACGTGTTAATCGTTAACGCCCATGAAACTCCAAGGTAATCAGTTCTACTTGATTTCAGAGCTGGCTTTGAATCCGTATTGAATACTCTACGCGAATATATGTTTTAAATAATCAATTTAATTTATACTACTCTATATATAATGCTGTCATATTTCAAGATAATTATCTATTATGATATTTGCGTACTTAGCAACAATTGGCATATTGTTATTTTTAGGTTTTTAACAAAAGCGTCGAATAGCAAAAAATTAAATTTATTGAATAAAATATAAAAATATTTTAATCTACTTCCAAATTTTACGTTTTTTAAAAATGACACTTTATTTTATTTCATTATGTTTCCAATATCAATAATCCTGCATTAGAGAGATTATAGTTATAGAATTACAGTTTTGATATTGGAAATGCGATATTGTAAAATCAAAAAACAGGACGTGATTAATATATGTATTATTTGCGCTCCAATAGATTGGTATAATATATCAGAAAACTTTTGGGAATGTGATCAATGAGTGTGTGTATGTGTATGACGAGAATGCATTGCGGAAAAATTTATGAGTCGGATCGCAGCGTTGGCTGACTTATTAAGTTATCGCGATATGCTACGGCGATATTTCTGACATATTTACTCTATCGGTGTCGCGAATTATGTATTTGTAGCTCTTGCAAAACGTGGAATGCCAGCATCCGAGGATTATGAGGTTACGCGAAATTCGTTTGACAAACGCGTAAAGTATATATCACGATGATAGTGTCATGTATTTTCCAGAAATGTCTATATTTTCTACGTTCGTTGGACATATATAAGGGCTTTTGAATTAATCATGAGTCAAAGTTACAAACACTCGTTTCAATCTTCGTCAAAGAAGAATTCACAAATCACGACCCCTCGGATCTTCAGATTGTCGGACCTTGATTGAATAATTGATTACGGCGCCATTATCCTCTGTCATCCATCCCGTAATGATCATTAACGACGTTGCGTCGTTTGCAAACGCGGGCCGACAAAAATAGTCGAAATCAGTCTTCTCGAAGATCTCGAGTTGCAGAAACCTGAGATGAGATTCACGCTGGTCGCTGCTCGTTGTCATCGCGAATGTTCCACATCGTCATGGACAGTTCCTCGCGTGGACAGTTCCCGGACTCGTGATTCTCGGCTACGGTCGATCTTCCGGGAAATTTGAGATCCTTTAGCCCGGGCAACCACTTTAGGAACCTCCACCACTTCTTTTCGGAAGCGTTGGCATTGGGCATTTTCACGCTCTTGTATCTCGTTCTCTTCGACCACGTTGTATCCTGATTTCTGCGGATCGAACGATCCCTCCCACGATGGCCCTCGCACCTGTTATGCCCGCTGATCGGCTGCAGGTTGTTCTTTGTCACTGCGATATCGTTGTTGTTTCGTGTTTCTTTGGTGTGTTCTTTGCGCATCGAATTGGCCCTGACGTCCGGAATATCAATCGACTTCGGTAGATTTTCCGGATTGTTTATGGCCTGCTTTTGGCTATCCTCGCCGGAATTTCCGGAGCCCTCCATACTTTCTGGCATTACACAGGATGCACCACCGGTTCCTGCTGTCCTTGAGTTGCAAGGACCGACCGTCCTTTGTTGAGATCGCGACAAGCTGGAATAAGATCGTTGCTCGTTACGCGCTGGCAATCCAGGAAGTCTGCAGCTCTTCGATAATGTCTCCTATAACAGATTAAATTAGATTTGTTTCACAATTTATAATTCAAGATTTATAAGATTTATAAGATAAGATTTATTTCATTTTCTCTATAGCAGAGCAATAATCGAGAAACTACTTTATTTTAAAAAGATCAATTTATAAGATTTGAAAATCAACTTTATAATTGTGTGTATTATTTACTGTCGCTTGCAGGATATTCATTTAATAATACATTTTATTAAATTTTTAAGTTGCATTGATTTTTTTAATATTGTTTCCTAAAATTAAAAAATAACCATTAATTTCATTTTAGTTCTTTATAATTTTAATGAAAATATGTAACCAATTATTTGATAAAAATATCAATAAAAATTTGATTTTTTTTTGCTTTAGATAACAATTTACATTTTTATTTCACTTACCATAAACGCCATGCGAAATTTGTTCGACATGATGTTATAAAGTATTGGGTTGATCGTCGTCGATACGTAATATAAAACGCCTGAGACGTAGGTTATAAGAAGATAAAGATACTCCATCCATGGACCATTTGACGTCATATGATCCTCTGTATTAGTTCCATATATGGCAATCAATCGTTGCACGTGAAATGGAGCCCAACAAATGAAGAATGCTATCACGACTGCGACTGCAACAATTAGTAAATATTTCATATAATTTTATAAAATAAAAATGTCGTTACTTAACTATATCTTATATCCTTGTTAACTCGAAGAAAATCTATACATTAGCATTAGTTTCCCTTTTTATTCCTCTTTTTATAGTGAATTATTATTGAAAACACACATCAGATCGATTGTATGTAAATATATTGTGTGTAATGAATTTATAATAGTAAATAATTTTTAAAATGCGTGTGTCTTAGTCAACTAGAAAAAGATTAATAGTGTAATAAATCAAGTGTCACGATTGAAAAGACACAAAGGTATAGATAGAACAGCATGTTTAAAAATTCCACCCATATGCGTACCAATACGTACTACATAAATATAAATAACATGAAAAATATGGTAAAAAAAATTTTTTTTATTAAAACCGATAGTATTGATAGATTTTATTCAGATATATATTTATGCAAGGTTATAAGAGACTTTTTTATCGTGAGCGAATATGAAATAACGTAAACATCAATTAAAATATGGCTTTAAATATCGGATATTACGCAAAATGTTTACTTCATCGAAGTAATATGACCTAGGATAGATGTAATAATAACACGGGAAAATTCCATTGTAATGTAAAGCTCCGATAAATCTCAAGATCGATCATAATGAAATTCCATTATGATTCATATGAATAAATATTAATAGCTCTTAATACTTTGACGAAATATATATATAGTAAGAATATGGAGCAAAATAATATTTAGTGCGATTTTTGGATTTTCCCGATCTCCGCGACTTCCTTTGTGTAAATTAAGTTTAGGATTTTAAACCGCTTAATTATCACATGAAAGAAAACCTTTATGCGATGAATGATATTTAACCGTAATTATTCTTATCGGATGTTATTATATCCTATTACATCTATGTAATTGTCTATTGTACACTTATTATCTTGGGCAATTACAGCGTTATGCAATTTTGCAAAAAAGTTTTGCAAAAAAGAAGCGTAACTTCTCTTCTTTTCGTTTCACATCTTTGAATTATTACAAATATTATACAACGGTAAATAAAAACGTCATCAATATATAAAATCCAGATGTGTATATGCTAAACACAATATTCTTTTTGTAGAAAGTAATTTTTGTTGTATGAAATCAATATTTGATTTATGAAATTGATTTGTTTTATGTTTATGTAACAAATAATACTTCTGTTTTATAAAATCTGTTTAAGTGAAATTTTGAGAGGAAGAAAGAGTAAAACAGAAATATCTGAAGTCATCTGAAGTGACCTGAGTGACCTAAATGACCCAGTTTTATTTTGACGGTGCTATTTACTTCCTGTTTTTTACATAAATCAGAAGATTCTGATAATATATCTTCTTACTTCTTATATATTTCCTGTATTTTTGTTTGCGTCAAACTCAAATTTGAATACAGCTTGTATTAGCTTATATTTCGTAATAATTATATTTCAATAAGTAAATGTATGAACATAAAGTTTATAAACATTAGATATTTTCTATCAGAATTATCTGCATCTTCCATAAATCAGGAGTCAAAAAGTGGAACATACTTAATGACGTGATCAATTTTACTTGCTCGCTCGCGGATGTGGTTTTTTCTTCTAAAAGAAAAGAGCACTGAGTAATAAATGCTCGGCGCCGTTTATATAATACTTTATGATAAATGCACGTTCTTGTTTCTGGCTGAATCGATTATTCCCAACGGCTCACAAGGCTCAATGTGAGGTCTTATCATGAGTAACTAAAGTTGCGGTAAGTTTTGCATTTGCAACTAGTAACGGTATGAGGTAACGTGTCGTAAGGAAGCACATGTGCTGAACGACTAAGCTTATTAAACCTGTATATAGAGAGTTTACATTGTCAACACGATATGAATGGTATTGCGCTGCAGACTGCATGACTGCGCAGTGCCCTTCAACAGGCACTTTACTTTGAATATTCGTTAGTTTGCTGCAAATATTCACCACGTGAAGTGCCACATGAAAACATTTAAAGTCAATCTTGATAGATAATATTACATAAGACAAGATGTAGTAAATTGCACTTTTAGAATAAGTGTGAAAAAAATAACGCGTGTGCATTCTTGGAGCACAATAAAATCTTATCTGTATAGTCGTGATCGTTTTACTGTGACTGAAGTGAGCAACGGACATTTGTTATGGTATAAACAGCGTGCATATCTAATGTGAAATTGATCAACAAATACTTCGACGGAAAAAAGAGGCCATATTTTTGCCGAGTCATGTGTGATTTTCCTCGTAATGACGCGTATAAAACGATGTTCATTGTTTACAAGTATAATTCCAAAACTGAATGCTTAACATTTGAACTTGCAAATTATGCAAATTGTACTTATAATTACATCAAACTGTATTTAACGTTGAACTGTATTTAACACACACATTGAAAGCTGCAGAAAGAAATAAAATAATAGATATAGAATAAAAGATTAATAGGTACAATATTAAATCATGTGATTCAAATTGTCAGTTTTATTGTAAATTTTGAAGAAAATTCTATTTAATAATAATTATTAGTTATAATAAATATTCTTATGTTATTATGACATATTTATCATAAAATCAATAATTTCGACTAAATTACTTAACATGATTTATAGAATTTTGCATTTAGCGTCACATTATTTATCGACGAATGCAACGAACTGCTGTTAATCAAATCGCATACATAGTATACAACACGTGCAAGTATTATGCAAAAATATGTAATTTGCGATGTTGACACACAAGCACAGACTATATCGCCAGATAAATTGTTATTTTCCTACTCCAGACTCATTAGAGTTATTATTATTATGATTATCATGATGAAGAGTGATTAATTTGATTTGATAAAATGATTGAAGATGTTGTGCATATGCGTTTGTATTATTTCCCTTATTTCTGTCCGTATTAATGGACGGCTAATTATTTCATCAAGATTTCAAGAGTCATTAAAGTCAATCATATCCGTCGCATTAGATTTTTTTTTTCATTCAAAAGGATTATTAATCCCTGACGCGCATTTATATCAACGCAAACAATAATAGCGGTCCTTTATGATGGATCGATTGTCGTAAGAAAACGCGTTCTTTATTACGTGCAACCTACGCTACACGTACGAATAATAAAAAAAATACTACTGAGAAAAATCCGTTAGGCCGAGAAAGCACATTCACTCACGACGTAAAGACACTTCGATGATGGAGTAAGATTTGTAAAAATACAATTCATCTCCTCTCCCGCTTTTTTGCCCAAATAATTTAGACCTGTCGTCACATGTTTTGTTTTTACCTCGGAGAGATTGATTGAAAGCAAACACTCTCATTTTTGAGATTTCATTTTGATTGAGTTTCTCTGTTATGTGTATATGCCACTATTGACATAATTTTCCGCATAATTTTTATTAAAACATTAATATGAATCGAGGATACGAATGCACATATCGCTTATTTGCTGCAACAGTGAGATAACTCAAAAATCACGATTTTCCAGAAAACGAGTTTTAAATCGTCATAATTTGATAAAAACATCTTTTTGAAATGCCATCTTGGTATAATAACATCGTAATGGAACAAAAGTATAATATCGTCATTCAGTGCCATAAATTCTCACTTATCCTTAAAGCAACCCCTATTCTGACTTTTAATGCAAAATTTGAATTATGTCATTGCAGTAAATGAGCGATAAGTATGTAAAAATCAACAAAAATGAGCATATATATTAAATTGATATCGGACCACGTGCCAACGATGTATTTGTCAAAAATGTTTGCTGTACTAATTTATATTGAAAGAAAGATATAGTGTAAAATATAAAAAAAATAAAATATCTTATTAGCAAATTATTGTTTTTATTTAAGGACTTACATTTCTAGATTAAACATTATTTTGAAGCTAATTGAGAAAACTAAATATTTTGTTTAATCAAATGGACACCTAATCACTTAAATTACTAGAATTGAACAAAGTTTGTCAAAAGTCCACGTAAGATATCTTGGAAAAACATCTATGGCTTCAAGTATCCTCCCTTTCGTTTTTACAGCTGATGGTAATCCTTCTCTTTCGCGTATTTTTCCGCGATCCATCCTTTTCATTATTAATCAGAATTCAACGACGATTTATCTCATGAATAAAGGTTTTTTTGACAACACTCTTGTAATTTTCAGTCAATGATTAACACGAAAAAGGATGTGCGTTGAATATTCCAATATAAATATATAAATATTTCGCTCTGGTGATCGGAAAAATATCACGCATTTTGCATCAACAATAATGAGTTACATTACATAAACCGCAATAAGCTTTTGAAAATAATATTTTTTAATTCAAAAATTTTAGCATATTATTGACATTACTAACATAAATATCGAAATATTTTATTTATAAAAAAACATTTTTTTTACCTTTTTTGCGTATCTAAATAAATAATTCTTTTATTTGTTATTAAAAACATTATTTTTCTATTTGTTATTAAAAAGATTCAATAATATGTGCTACTGAGAATTTATTAATATCCTAGACTAAAACGATTAATCTATGCCTATTCATGGAAATTCAATCAATCAATCGACGATATAAGTATTTATAACTCGTGTCAGTAGAATGGATTTGCTATCGTACGATCAGATCTAATATCCAAATTACAGTCGATTAGAGAGCAAGATTAGATATTTGACTTCTGTGCAATAAGCTTATCAGTAATAAAACGCGTTCTTATCGAAGGTTAATGTTTGTTCTAGGTAAAATACTAATCGTAATAAATATATGTATAAATATATGTATAAAGCAATCTTGTTTTTGTTTTAATTATTATTTCAAACCTTTTCAAACGAACCATTAATATTAATTTAACAGATTTAATAGATTGAAATTTACAATTATTACATGAATGCAATTTGGCTTTTTTGCGGATATTGCAGTTATTAATTATTAATTCCGTTTTAATTAAATATTTAAATTAAAAATGTTATTGAAAAGTTTATAAATCGAAATATTGAATTGTAAAAGCTTCCCATGCTCTCGTTAGGATTATAGAGCGATGAAAAGTTCTGTGCGTGCTATTTTACGGAGCGTTTCATCGACAAACTGTAATCGCGTGAGTTTGTCCTGAATAATTACGGAACAATCTTGGCCGCTGTCAAATCAATATTTTATCTTGACCGCATGTGTGCCCGTATTTATAGCGATACTAAATCATTGCAGAAATGTACGTCCTCGAATACATGGCTAATAGAATTAGTTTATAGTATAGTGCAGAATTCGCATCTTGTGTGGGCATGTAATGCCTTAATGTAACACATGCGTCACCGATGCAGTTCTATCGATCATCGGCGATGATTCTCTACAAGAGAATAGCCGTGCTTTCCGATAATTACTGCTGACGGTAGGAATACTTCGAGCAACTTCGACAGAGAGTTACTCGAGTAACTTTCATCGAAGAGAAAAAACTTAGAGACAAAACGAGCAAGCAAAAACTCGACAAAGCAAATTTTCATTGTATATCCATCCGATTTGACACTTTGACGGCTCCTGATCGATATACGTGAAAACGATCGTCGCTGGGAGATGTAATCGCTATTTAATTAGATATACATTTAACGCGATAGCTAACTTTTATCGTGACCGTCGGACGAGAGCTGGTTCTTCTCGTGATCGACGGCAAAATGGAAAAGTTAATTGGCCGCGCGAAACTTTCGGCGCTCGTATTGATAAAATTTATCATTTCTCGCTCAGCGTGTGTCTTTATTCATTAACTGCGAATTGATCACTGCTAAGTGTTATCTCATTCGGATGATAATCCATCATTCGATTATAGGACACTTATGTTGCGCTTAATGAGAAGGTTACGTGTTCAAGGACATGCAATTAATATAATTGCACTTATATGTTGTTAGATATTATATTACAGACGGCATTCTATCAAATATGATAATTAAACATTTCGGCGTAACATGAAATATCTATGAATATAAAATTAAAAATATAATACTTACGAAAAGTTAAAATATAAATATTATATTTCAATTCGAGAATCACGATAAATTCTATTTAATATTTTAATAAAAAGCTGTTGTGTAAAATAGCTTAAAATTTCAAAATATTATGAGCTAACTCGTCAGAAAATACCTTGCACGTCATATCTCGACTGTCCACATTTTTCCCAATATCTCCACTTCCTACAATAAGTCAGTTCAGTTTCAACTTTTTCGTGGGAAAACGTGACTGATGTAATTTCCCAGAGAATCGTTATCTTTAATGTTTCATAACGTAACAGCAAGAAAAAAAAATTAAATTTGTCCTCAATTGTCCGTCGTCATATATGTTTTTCATGTTATTCACGTATGATTATAGTGCTGTCACGTTGATTGCTTTATTTATTCGGACTTGACGAAGAAAAGTTAGAATGATTAAAGTATATTCAAACAAGATTAAAGCAATCATGGAACACGTGTGTACTTCCGAGCACTTGTAATTTTCCAAGTAATTCAAGCGGCTCGCGAACTTCGAGCTCGAAAGTTAAATCGTTTGCTCTTTTCATTTGGAAACATTCGGAGGCGAATCACTCGCCATAAAGTAAAAGAAACTCACAAGATCAACTCAAAGACAGCGATATTTAAAACATGGAAAAAACATATGAAAAATTAATTATATTAATTAACAGTTGGAAAGGAAATTGATGCTGAATCACTGATGGATTCAAAGTCGCAGTTACTGCTTTAATCCCACGCTGTATTTAAGAGAAATTGTGTGTAAATGAATGCATTTGGACGTGTCATATACAATGAAGTGTCATTACATTCGTTTACACACAACTAATTTTGAAGAATTGTCGGTACGTCGACTCGGTAGACCAAATTCAGCGGAATGCTACTTAAATCCACTCGGTCGCTCTCAGCGATAACTTGAGGTCGTAAACTGCACATAATCCGCACGGGGGGATATCACGCTAATTGAACATTAAGTTCCCGTTACATCGCGATGGAAATATAAAATGCACGCCAGGAAAATAAAAAGTAAGAATAAGAATTTTACGATCTTTCTGCGTAGAGAAAGTAATTTTCATCAATGTGTTGCGTTTAAATTAATTTATACTACTAATAAATTATTTAATATGTTAAAACATGGATAAATAAACAACATTAACTTTCCTCAATCTAACAGCTTAAAAAGCCAACACGTGTTTGTCAGACGAAATCTTTTAATATTTGTAAAACATTGTAAAACATTGTTTTATACACAACTGTATAATATGTCATGATAAAAACATATAAAAACAGCATAAGCATTCGCGGAACGCTAAACATAGAAGATCCATTCTTGCCGCACTTTGTTACATTAATTTGTTACGTCACTTTTTCACCGAGTTGTAGAGTTTTAAAAATCCAGCGCGCGCTCATGAATGATAGATGAAGCTTGCATGTGTGCGTAGGTGTGTCGCGAGTACGCGTGGCTTGCGTACGCGTAGCGTGAGTAAGATGTTATGTAACTATTACGGTACTATACGATCAGCTGGTCAGCTGATCCGTAGTGGTAAAATTTTTCGTCGCGACGCGAAGGTCATGTCACTGCTTTTCGAGTAGTCTTAGATCAGTATCATTCATGATGTCGTCGCGAAAAGTCGATATCCGCGCACGGAGTGTTATGAATTTGGTAGCTGAGGAAGCTTTTGTTCTCAACCCGCAATATCATCAATTACATCTCAGGTAATTGTTTCCTATTTACACAAAAATCATCGATCAATCGATAATAATAAAATTTAATCTAAAAAGAATGCGAAATAGTCGCTGACCAGCGCGTCGAATTTATAGGTTAGAACGATGATATTACACATTTTTAGTAAGGATAAATAAGAAAAGTATCATCAACACGCCGCTTTTTGAGCAAGGCATTGCTTGTTCAAAAATGTATTTGCATAATAAAGACAGTATAAGAATCTTAGCGAATTCTATTTTGAAATAATATTTACCAAATTTTGACGAAAATAAACAATTGCCAGTTTTATACACAAAATACCGCACGTAGCTTTTTATTTTTAGAGTCCGAATAAACATAAATATTAATCGATTATTGTCCATAAAAATAAGCAGAAATTCAGTAATTATTTATTAATAATTAATAAATTGAGCTATTAACTTTTGCGCTCAATCTATCATGCAAACGATTCCCATGAAATATTTAATTACACGAGGTTGAAGCGATAGTATCGATCCCATAAAAATAACCCGATATGAATTTCCTGTTCAAGTTTACACATTCCATATAGAGATGCACTTTCTATGATCTGTTTGCGCATAGAAGTAACGCAATACACAACACCATAAATGTGTACCATTTCATTTATGTGTCGTACAAAATAATTGCAAATGTTTGTTTAGCTGTACAGATCTGTATTATAGATATTTAAAAAAAACAAAAAAAAAAATTGCGTATTTTCTTTTTGTTCTATGCACTATTTACGCGCACGGTTGATTTATATTAAATTTACCGACTTGTATAAAAATTTAATAAATAATTTTGAATGGGAAAAGCTTTTTTATTAAATACGTATAACGTTGTTCTTTTTCACAACGAAACAAAAGCAGTTCTATATTGATATAAGTTCGTCTTGTACGGATAAAAATTAAAAAATGGAAATAAATATTTGTTATTCTACTCGCATGCAAAATGCTTGTCAAAATTTTGCTCCATCGAACGTTAAATGCACTTATGATGAAACTCATCATGAATGATAAATTTATTTTGTATACTGCATCGCATAAAAAGCGAGTATGCTTTCGGCATTTAATGTTAATCGAGTGACATTTGTATTAATCGTGAATAATTCAAGGCAAGGTTTAGTAGTAGTAGCTAAGCTGGTATACACAATGGAAACTTTTGCCGTAGTCGAAGTGGGTGCATACATTTAAAGCATGAAGAAACCGCGCATAATTAATCAGTTCTTTCGTTCGACGGTAATATTCCATATTGCATAAAACAAAACCACATCCTGATATGATTGTACTTATTTATTTGCAGGCTTTGCAGGAGAACTTACTTATTGTTAATAATAATGTGATATTGATAGAATTTTTAAACAATTTTTTCTATTGTATATATGAAATTTTTTGCTATACATTTCGCTATATATTTATTGCGCACTTTTAATTTTCTATTAATTTCTGTCTTTATCTGTCAATTTTTCTACAAAAAAGAACAACAATTTGTTTCCGGAACGACGAGCAGTTAATTGATTTTATCACGGTACACTGACTTTTATCATGAGATAGTAATGTACATTTTTAAGAACAAGTGAATGCGTCCGGTTATTACGTGTCGGGATTGTAATGTCGCGATAGCGATTGCGGTTTGTTGAATCGTTAAGCACATTTGCATAAAAACAAAAAGTGATTAATAAACGCTTACAATTTTACCTATAATTTTTTATATTATTTTTTATCACGCAAATTGTATCGATAATTGATTGTATATCTTTATTGAATTCTGAACTTTATGCAAAAAAACTCCATTTTATTGATTCGCCGCCGAAGTGTCTGCTGTTTGCTCGTAAACACTTGTTTCAAGTATCAACAATCTAATTTTTCAAAATAAATAAACAATCAGCTAATGGACGGTTCGGAAATCAGTGTGCTGTTTACCTAATTGCTCTATTATTTAGTTACTTTAAAAAATTAAATTCCAACAGAACGAAAAATAGAAGAAACTTGGCAAAAGCTCACCTAGCATTTTCAACACTCTTCTCGACGGCCTTCCGGGATAATGTCTGCAATTCCTCATCGATTCGGTTCTGCCCAGAACGGGTTTCATCATGTTGGACTTTCGCAGCTTTAGGCCGATCAGCACGTAGAGAAACGTGATCAGGCACATCGGTATCACGAAGAACAGGAACGTGGACAGCTCGAAGGAGTGATTAACGATAATTCTCTTGACCGTGCACATCACCATGTCTCGATGCCGGCTGTGCCTGACCACGCCAAACTGCAGTGCCTGCGGTAATGCGAACAGGAAAGCCACCAGCCATATCATCAGAATCAGCTTGATCGCGCGTGACAAATTCGACAGAGTTTGCGAGAGAAACGGATGACAGATCGCCACGTAACGTTCGACGGTGAACGCGACGATGGTGAGCACCGACGCGTTCGTCGACGTCTCCGAGGCGAGACCGCGTAGCACGCAGAAGCCTTCGCCGAAGATGTATGGGAATTTGCACCAAACCATGTACATTTCCGCTGGCAGGCCCGACACCAGTAGCAACAGGTCGGATACGGCCAGACTGAAGAGATAATAATTGGTGGCGGTATGCATAGACTTGTTGCGCGCAATCACGATGCACGTGCTGACGTTGCCGACGATGCCCGTGATGAAGATCAGCGCGTAGATCACGGTCACCGGTACCACCACGTAGAGAGAGTCCCGATATGAGCCGGGTGACATGACGGAGGACCTCAGCCCGTCCGCGTACGTATCGTTGAAGTAGCGCTCGGAAGACGTCACGGTGTCATTGTGATCACTTCCCGAGCAGGTGATACCCGACAGGATCGAAGCCACTGTGGGCGCCATATCGCGATGTTCACTTTGCATTCTCGAAAAGTCTTATCGACATTCTGTAGCGGCACCTCGGATGTGGATACAATTTATTATTTTTCGATGGTTCGAAATTGGAGCGCTTTTTCTTCTTTGTCGATGAAGTTGTTTCCTTAATGGCTTGGCTCCGTACAAAGTGAGTTAATGGAACTTCCATTCATTCTGCTGCTCAGTTTTCTTCTTTTTCGTCTTCAGCGAAGTTTTCCTTTTTTTCTCTTGTAGAATTGGTTCCTTATAAAAGATGGAAGCTAGTGAAATTTGCCTCTTTATCCGATTCAATCCTGAATGCAATCTCCGAAGAGCAAAGTTATGGAACCAAAGTGCACACAGATTTATCTTTGTTAAAGCTACGAAACTTTCTGCAGCTCTCTTTTCCGAAAAGCGTACTTCAATCGGTCGCTGTCTTGTTATCACTTGATTATCGAAGTTTGTATTAGTTCAAGAGTTCAAAATTCGCGAAACGTTCTGCGAATTGAATGAAAAACAAAAGAAACGCCACAACACAGTTTTTTTTAAACACCAGACCGAGTCTCTTCTTTTTTATTTTTCTAACCACGGAATGTTTTCTGTTTAAGCTCCTCATCTATGTCGACGATTGACGGCACGCGGTGGTTTCACTCGGATAATTTTGCACGGCGATACCAGCATGTCCCATAGTTTGTTTTCCCCGAACTGCACTGTTTGTTCACGAAGAAGAAGACTACTCGTCATGAACTGTTCCGGACGCCGTCCGAATCACTACTGCCGATGCCGCGACGCATCGGAGGACGCCGGCCATCCAGTAGGTTCAGCGCTGGCGCGCCGACACCTCTCGACGCCACGAATCCTCGAATCTCGGCGGAATTTCTCTGTTTTTTCTACCTACTCTTTTTCTCCGACAATTGAAAGGCAGCAAAGGTAAGATTTTTTTTCTCTCTCTTTGAGTCACAGTTTCGCGGATCGATAAACATAGTTGTTTTTTACGGCGACAGTTATCCGCAGCCAAAATATTCCACAGTTTACGCCGTCAAGTTTACGCCGCCATCATCCCTTAGATTGGGTTATTCATATATTTATGTATTTGCCCAGTAGTTTCGATCCTTTTTGTCAATATTACCTTTAACTTTATATCGCTCTATGCATTTATATTTCTACAATTTTGTTCCGAAAAAAAGTGTCAATTTATGCAAATGCGCTTATTTCGAATCTCAATTTAAATATAATGAAAATGTTTGTTTTTATTTGCGTATCACATTTCGAGCGTTTAAAGGGATTCAATTTTCATAGAATTTTATACTGTTGCGCATCTTTTGAATGATGTAATTAACCAAGCGTTCAAAAATGTTAACGTACGAATGATTACTCAGCAAAATTACACAATCGACATATCGTAGTAAACTTTGTGAGAGAATTGTTCACTTGCTTCGGTCAATCATTTCGGCTTTCTTCTGCAGTATTGCTTCTGCAAACTGCAATTAGCGGCGTCAATTTCCAACGACAGCATATTTACGCTATTCTCTATTTTCCCAATTCAATTTGCATTTTTTATTTTTTTATTTTTTGTAATCTTTTAATAAACGTTACGACGTTCCATGTTACATAAATATATCATAAATTTTTATATTTTTCGATCTTTATTCATATCGTTTTAGATATAAAATATCTTATTAAAGAAAAATAAAAATCCTATGTATACAATGCACAGTAATAAAATCAGGACAAAATAATCTTAAAAAAAAGACTCCGTCTCGCGTATTTAAAGCAGATTAATCATATTTTGTGAAATACGTGAGAAAGAAACATGGCATGCAATTATCTAATAGCGACGAGCCGCTTGCGCTTTGTTGTATAATTTAAAATCACACTCGTTCGCCTCAATGCAAATTTAAATTGTATAAAGTTCATGAATGTAAAACTTGTGCGTGAATTGTATGTTTTGCACGAGACTGAGATATACACAATATTTAACTCAACTACTTCAACTGATTTATAACGCATTTTAAAGTGTTTTAACTAAAAGAGAACGAAGTTAGTTTGAAATTACAACGCTAAACGAAACAGACTCGTTACTACTAAGTGTTTAATTTATTTATCTCAAACTTAATTTGCGATAGTAATATTAGATTACTGTACGTGTTGAGACAAATTATTCCCTCTCACGCTTAGATAATAATGTCATAGGGTTTGGGCGTCTTGTCTGGGGCATCTACGATAATACTATTAAAGTGACGCATGAAGAGTGCTTTTGCGATTTGCAACAACCTTGAAGTCGCGAAACAAGCCTGTCGGGGACGCACGTGCAGCACGTCGACCCCTGTCAATTCGATGCCCCAGTCGCTTGTTTTCAGACACTGTACCACACTCTTGTCGATCCACTTTTGCTTTACCTTTGCCTCCTTACTTCGTCGTTACGAGCAGTCAATTATCTTCCTTATTTTATCCGCGGTTTCTGTTCCGAAGTGTCGGTTGTTTACCTTCGCTTTAACATTTAAGAGCGTACCGGTGCTGTTGTTTTCGTCGGGAGATTGTTTATCGTGTCAGTACACTTAAGTGCGGCTTGTCGAATGCAAAATTGACCGGTAATGTAAATTGAGTAACCAGACCGGTAAATTGAGCGGTAATGTTGCATGGTACACGGTGCACGGATTGACAAGTCCTTAGGCTTTGAGTCGCACTTCAATTGGCGAACTATGCGATTAATATCTTAGTCATGTACACGTGCACCATTCCTTGCCATCCCTTTGTAGCTTAAGTTGAAAGCGACGTCGGTCCATCTGATCCATTACATGATCCATTACATCACTGATGGACAATGCTTAATGTTAAATGTCGGTACGCGAAACGTAAATTGAGGCGAAAAAGTAACCCAGTGAGAAATACAGGTCGAAGAAACATCTAATAGACATCTAATGGACGTTTGGCGTAGGCGTATTTCGACCTGTCATTCCTCACTGAGAAAAGAGACGAACATTTGTTAGATACTTGAAGAAAAATATTAAAAGGGAAAAACAAAGTAAAAAAACAGTAAAAGGAGTAGAGAATATAACATAAGAATACAAATGAAATATTTTGATCCAATTTCTGGACTCTCTTCAGTCTAATAGTGATGTCGTCTTTAGGGTTTCCACCCTAAGGATCAGTAATAACCATTACATTGAAGAGGGTCCAGAAATTGGGGACCGAAATATTTCAATTGTATTTGTATTCTTTTATTATATTCTCTATTCTTTTTATAATAAATTATTTTTTACGCGCCTCCTTTCTACTAGTTCTTCTTGATCTTTTTACTCTTTTAATGTATTTTAAAAAAGATTGCATCGATAAAAATTTATAGAGTGGAAGCTATTTCGATCACGTGATTATTTCAATCAAAATGAAAGCTAAAAGCAATCGCAATTTAAAACTGAATAGATTTATTAAATTCAACAGACTTAACAGATTTATTAAATAAACAAGAAAGAGAGTTAAACATAAAAAATAATAATATTAATTAAAATTGCTTAATCATAATACGTCTTTGCATTGCTAGCTTTGCAGCTGATCAAAAAACTAATGCGCAATAGCTCCATTATTTATTTTGATGAAAATAAACTCGCAATTGAAATAGCTCCGATATCTTCTGTATTTAATAACGCAATTAAATGGGGTGATTTGTCTTTTCACGCATGACTCATCAAAGCTCTACGGCGTTAAAGCCGCAGATAGGAGATCCCCTTTCAACGCACGAAAGAAAATTATGTTTTTGTGCAGAATTTGGTTATTTGGCGAGAACTCTCGAGAACGCGAATACAATGATTATGAAATCAGGAATTAAAACAGCAGAGTTTGACTTCTATCATTTCCTGATATATCGATAAATATTTATGTTCACAGAAATAAATTTACGTGATCGGATTTCCTTCATTTGTATTACAATTACTTATGGCGCGTGGTCAAAGCGCTAAATGTATACTTATTTTCTGAGCGGCAGATAAACAAAAAATAAATAGGAGATAAGTGGAAAATAGAGCCGGCGAAAAATAATAAATTGATCATTGATCTATTTCGGCATATATCGCGCGGAAACGTCTGCGCGAAAAAAAGATTTGTGACAATATTTTTTCATTTATATGGAGATCGGTGTAAAAATATGTTATATGTATATATCAAGTTCAAAGTGTGTACGGAAACACATGGTCGATAGAGAATTATCTCGGCGATATCACATTTCACGCCTCCGACATTTATATGCAGATTCGCGATATCCGAGATTGCGAGAAAATGTTGTTTTAGTGCTGTGATAACAAAACGTCTTGCTTCCTTTACGGTAAATGCATGAGTTATGTACACAATGGCGACAAATAAAAAAAAAAAAATAATAACATTTCCTTTATCGCGAACGACACTGTTTGGAAATTAACTTTACCGGCAAATACGTGACTTAATTAACCGATTGACATCGATATCATTCCGTGGGCTATAACTTTCTCAATTTAGTATTATTAATTAAGGATACCACTAAACCGCAGATCTGCAGCCCCACCCAATTAATGCATTTCGCAGCGATTGCAGATAACCGTCGAAATTCTGTTAATTTAACAACCGGAATATCTCCCGCAGTCGAATACGCTTTTCCTTTTACCTTGCACAATTAGAGAAATCATTAATTCAAGAAATATTACGCCGTCTTTGTCTCAGAGGTGTAATTATCTTAGAGCAACGCATGCACCATCAATTACAGAATTTGTGACAAAGGGTATATAACGTGCTGATATATGATACGAATATGATATGTCCTAAAAACAGAATATCCGGTAGTTTGACATTTTATTGGATTAATATGTAGAATTACATTGCGTGATAGAAATTTCATGCATGCCCTAACCAAATAATGCTGTATAACCGTATCATGTGTGTAGTAACCAAATAATGCCGTATCATGTGTGATAGATAGATATTTCTCGTATGTCGAACACATCCTCGTTAGTCCTCTTCGATAAGGGTCTTGTACGGTTTGCAATTTTGTCACACTATCACATTGTATTTTCGAATCAACGCGTTGAACACGTTTAATGCACGGAAATATTCTTAAACTTTAATATGCCGACAAAGTTTTACAATATCCTTTGAACAGCAACTGTCAAATCTAAATTGCCTTAGTTTCTTGAATTCCTAAACTTCTTCGGGACACGTTGAATCTTTACGATCCTTTGACTATCCTTTAAGAATGCTTTCTAAAATTTTTCTGTCGCTGAAGCACTCGGAAATAAAAGTGATATAAAATGTTATAAAAAGTAACAATGACAAAAAAGACAATAAACGTTTTCAGAATTAGAAGAAAGAGAAGATACAAAGAAAGAAACTCAGTTTGTTTTGACATATTGTGCTGATTGCCGTATGCTTTATTCTATTAATTATTTGAATTTAATGCCCTTTATATTTTTTTTTATTAATACAATTTGAATATTTTTCTTTCTTTTTATTGTATGTATTTTACCCAATTGAAGAGAGATTAAAGTTGCAACTAAAACGTTTTTATTTTTCAATTGATAATAGTTGATAATTCTCTAAAAAGAATTATTAATTCCGCATTCGTGGAACCACATTTTACGGTATTATAAAAAATATAAAAATTGGATGTGATGCAATACACAGCAGTCCATTTATTGCTCAAAGTAGGTCAATATTTTTTACAGTAACAATAGACTTTTTTCAGATGAAGCTCGCAAATAATCTCACGAATCTCATAAATAATCTTCTGTTTCAATCGTACGTAAATGAATATTATAAGTTGAAATATATCCTAAAAAAGATATCACGTCATTGGTAAACTTGAAGCAATATATCTAGATATATTTGGAAAAGGGAGAACACAATGCGTTTTATACAAGCTTAGGTACATAAAAAAGCTCAATAATTTCTCAGATAGAAGATAATTATTTTGTATTCATACGTTGATTATTCTTAATCCGCATAATCCCACTATTTTATCAAACAGAATATTATTTACACATGCGTTGATTACACAGCGGGATCGATTTGATTATAATTAAGCGTAATTATTTCCTTATTGACTCAGGCAGGCACTGGGCACCAAGTGATTGTTTTAATAATATCTACAGAATCTTTATGTAGGAACTTCCACCTGCAATTATACAAAAAAAAAAAAAAAATGTAACGCATTTATTTGACATAATTACTGATTTTATCTAATTAAAATTTGTAATTTTTTTTTTGTTTAGTATTTGTAGTAAAAAGATATTGAATAAAATTTAGTGTATTTAATGTGCTATGTTAACTTACTTGGAAATGATTGGTGACACCGTAGTAAGGATACACGCCACCGAGAATATAGCGATAATAACCATTATGTCTGATACGATACTCGCCCGGTTTAACGTCCTGTGGGATTTTCCACGTAATGGTCACCTGACTCGATCCCAGTATCATCGACGTCCTTGTCCATTGAAATCTAAATGCGCATATGTATCTGATTACAATTTATTGCGTTAAAGATAGAATCATACAACTAAAAAAAAAATAATGAAATTGTCGTTCTCTTTATTGTTTAAATTGTTTTCCAAAATCGACTATAATCAATATCGCATATGTTAGAATAATTCTTATAACATGATGTTACACACTTGGTCTCCCAATCAGCATCCGTGGCTACTGGTATCCAAACTTCATCATTTCCTAATTTCTCCACAGTTAAAAATGTCATCTCCGTCATTAAATTATTACGAGGATGACCGGAAGCCTGCAATGAATATTAGAATTACAAATATTAGAATTGCAAATTGAAATAGTTTATTTTCCTTCCGATTCATTCATATTCTTTCTACTTCATTCGTAATTAAACACGCCAATCTATCTGTATTACTCAAAGATCAATAAGTGAGAATCTCGCCGTTTTCATTCCGTAACACATTTATTTGAGATAAAATAACAAAGCGACATATTTTACATTTAGCGCAGCTGAGATCGGAAGCAGCCTTAGCAAGAAAAGTTTTTCCGAATGATCTATAGGAGACAAGGAAAATTTCTAAATTGACCTCGCATAAATCGCGATACTCGTAAGTTATGGTGATTTATTTGTGTCCGCTTTCACGATGCATCTCTCGCGCTTCCGCCGCCGGAAATTATCACCAGAAAGCAATTTACGATTACTTAATCCATTCGTACCGCGTCACCAAAGGCAACCCATTTTCCGAGCGTTACGCGAGCGCGCGAGAAAATGTCGCGTCGCTTTTTATTGCATGACTCAATCGCGATAACAACACGATCTGCCACGATTAGCGTTGAATGACTATTTCCGTCACTGAAAAGATCGAGAAAGGAGCGACGCAAAAATTACTCTTCCAGTTCATTTATCAAATCGGCGGAGATATGGGCGTGAGTTAAAAAATGCGAAATTTTTTCAACATGAAAAGATTAATAAACGATATTAAATGGGTTGCATAATTTCTAGCATTTTAAAGGTAACGATATACATATGTAACGATCATAAGTAATTTACAACAATAATTAACAACAAGAATTAACAACAATAATAAGTATATTCAATAATAAATGTTCATACGTTAATCAATAACTAATTAGTGACGTATATTGTAATAATTCTCAATTTATTATTAGACATCTAATTAATTATCTAATTTACGTCGAATATTATGCGTAGATCAAGTTAATTTATGACAGACTAAAATTATTTGACGCGTGTCTGTTTACTCGTTATTCACTCGTGTTACAAGCCGTAGTGGCCTTGAGATAAGGGATAAAGAAGGTAAGACGGGGAAATGAACGAGAAATGGCAGCGCAAGGTCTTCCTTTGTGCGAATTTTTGCGAAAGTATCTCTCGCCTTTTCATAATATCGCGTTAATTCGGTTCTTGCTTCTCCGAAAATTCCACTGCAGGATTATTCGCGGGAATTACGTTAAATAATTAATCTCTTTAAAAATACGAAAAATGTTATTCTTCCAATGATAAGATCGATAACAATGTAATACACGATATGTGGCGTAACATAAATATCGTGACGCAAAAAGTAATTACCGCATTGCGACACAGTTTGGTTATAGTAGTTGATTTTGCAAAATTTTCCTATTGACGCGCACGCGACCTTGGTTAACGGCAGTTATATCCGAATTCAATTCGAAATGCATCCCGATGTATTAAAGGTTGATAATTGCGATGTTTACAGACGGCCGGCGCGCACAGTTCGCATGGTAATTGATTCATTTCGCAGTATACGGTCGTGCAATGGTTTGCAAAGCGCCGTTACTCTCAAATGGAATTGTACAGGACACAATCTACCAACGTTTGCGCAACCGTACCAGTCTACCCTCGATCCACCCCAACTCTATTATGTCACGTTTCGTAATATCTTTGTATAATATCCATACAAATTTGATATGGTTCACCGTTACGCAGCTCTTATTAGAGAACAGAATCTGACGATGCTGTACGAAATTTCCGTTGCGATTTTTGCAAAGTGATATCGGCAGTACGAAAGAATCACTTACAAAAGTTGCCGTGATCGTATCACCCGGCGACGCGACTTTCGACGGCTGCTGGACACAATCGCCAAAGTTATGCCCCCATTTCGGGGTGTCGTAGAGGACAGGAGGTACAAGAGTGATCAAGTATTTTTGTAGCAATTCCGGGGGTGACGGTCCTGATGGTACAGGTTTTTGCTGCAATATCGAATATGATAAATTATATCCAACATAAATCTTTAACGAGAGAATAATTAAAAATCCATTAATGTGAAATAAATAATTGTATTTCAATGCAATTAATCATTGTGTGAAATGACAAATTAGTCGCCATTAAGATTAACTGAAATTTCTCGCGAAACTATTTCAGCGGAGATTTCAGCCATTAACGGGGAATAATGTTCTCGACATTTGAATCCGTGATAATTTTGCAAATGCATCTCTCATATTGCTGATATATAAGGTATTTTACCCACTTGAATGGCTGCCTGTACCAGCTCCCGGTATTGTCTCAAGTAAATTGTGAGCGTATGCGGACCATATATCGTCGATGCGCCTTCGTACCTCTGTATCTGAAAGTTAATAATTCAGTAACTATTATGCATTATGCATCGCGATGCGCATCCACGAGGAAATAAATTCGCAATTTAGAACGCAATACGAATGGACAAATCGCGTTTATGATCCCAATGATTTCGCTAATGTGCTAATTTACTTTCCCATTTGTCAAAACAACTGGCGTATTCGAGATTGAAAATTTCACAAACGATGCAAAAGCCCTGCCGGATCCGACGCGTTCCACGTGGCGGCTCCCAAAGTGGTCTCGATTCCTCGAACGGGCAGTTAAGTTTAGTAATAACAATAAGCAGTTTACTTGATACTCCTCGGGCGTCGTTATGTAATCGCTGTAAACATTGCACAGCCCTGCCACTATTACGGACGTTCTGTCGTCGGGCGCATCGTTCGTGACGTTCTTGATAGCCTCTCGCAATCTTCTTCCGGACATTGTCGTGAATTCGCCGGGTACCCCGGCGATAACGACGTTTCCAATCACGGCGACTTGCGTCGAGACGATGCTCGGTTGCCACTGATAAGGCAGCTTCATCTGAAGTCAGAGAGAAAAGGAAAAAGATCGCTCCGGTGATTCAGTCGACTGTCGAGGTAACGATTTTCGAAGCGTTTAATTACACTCCGCGCGCTGCGAATCACGTCATACCGACATTTCCATTTTTTCCATACGAATCGCAGGCCGTCGCTTATCGAGACGCGCGATAATTTTACGTAGAGTCTTATTGTCGGTATTTCCTCGTATGCGTATCTGTGAGAAGAATCTCGCACCTATGTCTGTGCACAGCGAAATCTCGCCAATCGCACACATCTAATTGCATACGAATGACAATGCTAATTGCGCGTCATAATAGATTCGAGATCGCAACGAGTGACGTGTGCGTTTTTGCGGAAAAACAAATATAGACTCACCCGACCGGTGGCTAGCAAGATGGGCTTCGCGCCGTGGCAACGAATGTCGTCCTTCGTCGGCGCAGCCAAGAAGTTTCGCACGGCGTTCCAAAACGGATTAGGCGTCGTCGTTCCCTGCTCGAAGGCGAACGAGCCGGGCCCGTCGGTGGTGCCAGCTGCGAAGCTGTAGCCCATCGCAGGTACGCAGCCCTGCACCTGTTCAGAAACCGGATAAATCCCGTCTTTTTTTTTTTTTTGACAGCTCGTCCGCGGACAACAATTACGACTGACAGCTGTAATTTACCTCCTCGATCTGACCCGTTGTGTGGTTGTAGTATTTCGCGGACTGCTTCGGCATGTCGACATATTGATGAACCACTCGCACCGGTCCGATAACTTCCGTCGCTTCGCCGCTCCGCCACAATCTCTGCAAAAATCAGGAAAAATTTGACGTGAGCGAAGCTTGCCGCGCGTTGAAATAATGGAAAGTTTTATGCGCGATTTTGAAAGGAATTTTTATTCAATTCCCAAGGTACTTTCATGAATGATATTGTGAGAATAAAAGGCTCTCCTTCGTCTTGTGCGCATTTCCGCGATTACTTGGAAAATGCGAAGGCGAAATTTGATTATGATTAATCGCATTGAAGATCGCGTGGATCGGGCAGATAAGTGAAGTGCATACTCGTGTTGTTCATAAAACTCAATGATCACGATCGACGATTTTCTCATATGGGAAAGCTAGTGATGCGGAAATATGAAGGTTTCACGTACGAATCAATGATGCATAAATCAATGGGTTTATAAGCAATAAGGAGTATTATAAGAATAAGAAGCGAATTGATATTCAAATGCAATCGCAATTGCAGTGAGATTAATCCAATGTCGTTCAAATGTGATTATTAGATTCCTACAGGTTTCGCTTGAAATTACGTGGAAACATTCCATAATCTGCGAATGAAGCAACAAATGCATTTACAACGTGTGTATTTCTCCGCGTTTATTTATTGCATGTAATTCATTCATACCGCTGTCTACATTTCCTAGTAAATTAACAAATATTGAGTTTACCAGGAACAAAGTAAGATATATTAATTAAATAACGGTTTTGATCGCCTCTGAATAATTTGCGGATAAAGTGCAGTACACCATTAATTAATTACTTTATATTGACCTAATTAAACTTTTCAATATTCGCCCCGAGAAGTTAATTTTGATATGAGATAAATGATGGACATTTTCTAATAAAATTGGAGTTCGATTTTAGGCTTTATATTATATAATATTTTACATTATATCGTATATATAAATCTATATGAATAATATTTTGCAAAACGATGTGGGAGATTTTTCACACAAGAATATTTTAATTAAAAATACCATTATGCGTATATGAAAATATGTTCAGTCATTTTTGCAATTCGAAAGAAAGCAAAGCGATGGATATTATAAAAGTAGAGCATGCAGTTTAATTCTCTTTTGTTGCGGTTGAATTCCTTTTTATTAGCTCTGTTAATGAACCGCTCTGCTTATCATTCATCCTTCTGGCTTTTTAGTGAAATAGTACAATAAAAAGAATAATAACTTTTTAACTACATAAGAGTTACAGACAAGAGATACGTATATACGTATCTACGGCGGAAGTGATGTTTCGAAAAGGAATGAAAAACACGGCGCGTATACATTTCTATGAGATGCCGCGATACATCGCGCGAAATGCACGCGAGCGAGCGTGCGGGCGAGCTACTCACGCACGCACGCGTGAAACGTATTCGCCGTGCACAGCTCGGTCGGAGGAATATAACCGCCTTCTCCTCTGTGTCGTGGAAACTGTTCCTCTCTCCTTTATGATGCTAATCCCTCTTCACCAACGATGGTTTCGTCGGTCGTGCCCCCGTCACGCTTAAAGAGCATGCGAATATATGTTAATTATCGCACTGGCCTGCCGTTCGTACCGGCTTCTGTATTACGAGCTGCGGGCAGCGAAAGCACGCTGAAACGCCGCACTGTTTGTAACCGGACTCGTCGCGCGCATGAATACGCCTGAATACGCTTTACCTGAGTCCTGATTGCCCGCTTTTGCACGGAACGCAGTACTAATACGTTCCTACTGCGCACTCGTCACCGCGGCGTGATTTGGGTTTCCTAATGTGAGCTTTGATCGCGCTTTAAGCTAATTTTTCACAGCTTAGGTATTTGCACTTGGGAACTAATCGCTGCGATTTAAACCGCAATCGCTTTTTGGTTACGACGATTTCACGCCTGAGCGATTAATGCAAATTTGACTCGAGCATGTTTCTCTGATACGTACATTTCCCTTCGGAATGCGTGCTGCCGCTTTTAATATAAGTAGTGAGCATTGTCAAAATATACAGGATAAATATGTCAAAAAATACGCAGAATGCATTTATATTTGTAGAATTTGTCGAAAACATTTTCCAAACAAATATTCAAAAGTTTTCTTGAAGACGCTTTTTAGGTTTGGGCTCAAGTTCTAGAAAAATTTCTCTCGGCGAAACTTTAATTTTTTCCTACTTTCTCCGGACTGTCTTACGTCGATATTTGGAAACGCACAAATCGAGGGTCATTTGTATTCGAGCATCAGCGAGTCGTCACTGTGTACAATAGTCCGACTGCTATCTTCACTACGCCGTCGCCGTCGCCGCGCCGTCGGGAGGGAAAGTAAGTGGCGGAAGGTGCCGGTTGCGTGTGCGAGGAGATGCGATGCGAGATACTGCGGCGGCCGGGACGCGAGAGAAGAAACTATGACGAACAACGTTCGAATGGACTTCCAGAGGTGCGCGCGCGAATGCTGTCCGCCGCGGCACACCACAGACATAACAGGCGCCGCGCGTAGCTTTCCCGTCGCATCGTTTTTTTTTTTTTTTATCTTATGGTGTCACGAGCGACAGATTAATGCGAAACGATGATAAGCGCGACAGTCGAACAACACGAAGCATCGTTCTTCATCAAACGGGGGGATAAACCACCATATTCTATCATTAGCCGCGATAACAGTGCATATCCTTTAATGACGACGTTCAATTAATTTTAATGATGCGCGAATGGTCTTGATGTCGAACACGGCGGCGACACGGTGGTGAACTCGGTTGAATTCGGTTATGGAACGACTAATCAATCATCCGACGCAGTAATACGAGAATCGGCTCCCCTATCCATTTTTGCACAGATTACCGGTCGTTATCTTTCTAACTTCTCGGCGTTCTGAAATATCGATTACGTCGAAATGTAATATTAATGAGCCGAAGCGGCGGGCAACCTTGTGCCGACTTGCAACAATAAAAACGCGGCATGGGAACACTTCGACCCGGAAGACTCATTGATCTTAATCAAACGTTTTTCGTATTAGCATAAGTCGATCGTATCCGGTCGGGGTATCCGGCGTTCGCTGCATCGATCGCGGAATCAACTACATTAACAGCGATATCTGGATGTCGTTGATTAAACAAGATTTCTTAATATTATTGATATATCATGCTAAATACGTTATTAAAATTATTATCAAAAAATATGTAGCCTTAATGGAAAAACTTTTAATCATTATGTATACTTTCACAATGAATTGAATTAGCTTTAAAAGTAAGAGTAAAATATGGAATGAAATTGGCTAAACTTTATATGGATGCGTATTACTTCGCAAGTTTATGAAAGTCTAATTGCGGCATTTCGCATTCTCATGATTGTGATTTTAATTATTCTTTAGATCTGTTTCACTTAAGGGGAACCTTGAGAGATGAGCGTAACAACGACGCAACGCGATCGATGCTTGGTGAAAGTGGGTTACGTCAGATGTGCCGAATTATAGGGAATTATTATTTTACATATTATAGAAATTACGTGCTACATCTGCTGGTATAATTCTGGAATATTCTCTGCAAATTTGGCACAGGCAATATTTGCTCTGATAAATATTAATTTTACTAAAGACTGTCATAATATTTATGTCTACCTGAAATAGCTGAATATAAATATTAAAATTAAATGTAATACAAAATATATTACACTAATAGGATTACAACAATTTAGTCAAAATATTAAATGCATTTTGAAATAAAAGATATGAATTTACTTTCACAATTCTAACACAATAAATTTTATTTATTTATAAGTAAATAATGTTAATGGATAACAATCAATAAATATATAATAACAGCTAATATTTGTTCATGTTATTAATTAAAATGTTGGAAACATTGATTTGTTTATACGAGAAATATTTAATTTCATAATTTGATTATTATGTGCGCGCTCTACAGCGTGCAAAATCATAAAAATTCAGATTCTCGCTAATCGACTTTTAGACTCAGAATTGCGCATAAATCAGTGTTACGTTATTAATGACGTTGTATAGTATCTGCCTGTGGACAGTTCGTCAGCGTATATCGTGTGGGCGTTCCGTCTCTGTACACTTCTACACGCACGGATGCAATTAAGAATACATATAGAGCTTTACACTAATCGAACACTACGTCAAAGAGCGCATTCAGTTAAGTCTGGCGCCACTTAATTAAAGTTGCATTGTCGAATGTCTGCAATGAACTTTTTAACTAGATTTCTAATTATTTATGAAAAGATTTAATCGGCGATTTAATCACATAGAAAATAACTGTGTTGTACACTGTAAAAAAAAATTCGATAAATTTACACAATAGATGTAAAAGTAGCACGATTAATGACGAAAATACGAAATCGTGTAATTTTACGAAAGTATAATATATAATTATTATTGTGTGTATATCTTTATACAAATACGTCTATCTTTATTTTATATAAAATTTTATATACTTTACACACAAGCGATTGAATATTTCACAAATTTTATATAAGTGTCAAAATTTTTGAAAGTTTTAGCAGCAACAATAATACATATTTTATTTTACATTATATTTTACTTTATAATTTATAGTTACATTTTTATATAAATTTACAGTTGCATGTGCGCTCCGTTCAATTCTCAGGCGATGCGCCATGAATTTGAAATTAGGAACTGAGTTTCGGATAATTTATTCATGTAAGGCAAGTACAAGAATAACTGTGAATGTACTTGGGCGAATGCAGTCTGCTTTATCATAATAAAAATATTTGCAAGTTATGAATTTGTAAAATGTGTGAAAAATTCACACTTGCAACAGTGGTTCTGAAAATTACGCACTATAATGCAGTTGTAATTTTGCACTAATTTTATTTACAGTGTGTACAAGCTATTATTTGTCATAAGTAATGAATCCGCATAATAGGTTCGAGATTTATTGTCAGATGTATACTAATCGCGAACAAAACAAAATCGGATATACAGGGTGATTCAAAATAACCTGATGTCCTTGCAATGCCATATTCTTGAGCGAATTCTGAGACGATTTTTCCTTTTACAAAATTTTGTCCGAAGCTTAGTTTTCGAGTTATAATTGA